CAATAGGCAACCAAACATCCTACCGTGTTTTCTACAGGGGAAAAATCCCAAGCTTTTTCCGGGGCAAACACATAAGAGCAAGCAAAGTAACCACTGACGAAAAGCCTCCCAATGCAAACAGAACCAACAAGCCCAAAGAACTAATGCAGAACCAGGGAATCCCAGCAGAAGTACAGAACAATGTGGCAAGCCTAACGCAACAAATGTCAAACCACAGAATCCAAGCCCAAGGGATTCAACAAGGAATGCTGCCACAAGCCCAACAAATGTCAATTTATTTATTTCAATTTCTTGACCAGGGCTCAGGGCGGTTTACAACAGAAATTCAATTAGAGAATCAACTCAAATCTTAAACCAGAGAATTCAAGCCAATGTTGAACCCTAGAATCCACTGCAATCCAACCTGAGCATCTTATATATATAATTTTCCTAACATGGACATTTCCAGCTCTCTCGTTGGCTGTGCTGCGCACTCCAGCAGCCATTGGCCCATCAACAGCCACTCAAGAGTAATCACATGCCATTGGCTAGGTGCTGGGTCCGCTCCTCTTCCCCGCCCACTGCCATCTCAGCCACTGTTCCCTGCCAGAAAAACTACCAAAACGGCTGTCTCTCCTGACAAAGATGCTTCTCCTGCTTGGTTCCTGTGACACTAACTTTTCCCTCAGTGGCTGTTGCTAGGCAACCAAGCTTGGTTCTGTCACTAAAAAGCCAAAGCCAAGAGGCCATTTCCAGGCCTTTGTGGGGAACTGATCAGGGCCAGTCCTGACTAGGGTTTCCAGCTCCAGGTTGGGAAATTCCTGGAGATTTTGTGCTGAAGTCTATGGAAGCCAGGGTTTGGGGAGGGGAGAGGCCTCATCTGAACAGAATGCCATAGAGTCCAAAGCAGTTATTTTCTCCAGGGGAAGAGAGAGATCTGTTGTTTGGAGTTCAGTTGTGATAATAGGCGATATCACAGCCAGTGCGGCGTAGCAAATAACATTTCAGAGCAGGGTCTGCCAGACCCAGGTTCTTGCTGTGGAAGCTGAGTGGATGATTTCGGACCAGTCACAGACTTTCAGCCTAACCTACCTCACAGGGCAGATCAAAAGGGGGAGAGGAGAATGATGTAATCTGCTTTGGTCCCCACTGCAGAGAAAGACTGTATTTTTCCTCCTGGGCAACCATTGTTGCCAATCTCCAGGTGAGGGCTGGAGTTCACTCAAAATTACAACTGCTCTCCAGATGGCAGAGATCAGTTCCCCTGGAGAAAATGGTGTACTCTGCGTCCTTATACCCTACTGAGATGGCCCCCCATGACAGCCAATGTGATGTAGCAGTCAGTGCTTCGGAGCAGGGTAGAGGCTGCAGGTAAGGGGAGGGGAGATGGAAAGCTGAAGTCAGAGGGGCAGATAAAGGTAGGTTGATGATTGGCCAGGAAGAAGATAGGGTTGTCAATTCCAGGTTGGGAAATTCCTGGAGATTTGAGGGGTGGAGCCTGGAGAGGGTGAGATTTGAGGAGGGGTGGGACCTCAGACAGCTGCAGTGCTAAAGACTCCACCCTTCAAACCATCCATTTCCTCCTGGCAAACCACTGCTGCCAATCTCCAGGTGAGAGCTGGAGATCACTCAGAATTACAGCTGCTCTTCAGATGGCAGAGATCAGTTCCCCTGCAGAAAACGGTGGACTCTGTGTCATTATACGCCGCTGAGGTCACCACAGCTGACACTGAGTGCCCCAGGACAGGGCACCCGTCCAGAGCCTCTTTCTACAGCTTGTTGTATTTATTTCCACAACGAGCCTTATTCCTAGTAGAACATAATGCTGCAACTCGCAGGACCCACGGTACTAATTTCAACACACAGAATCCAAGCCAAGCAAACCTGGCAAGCCCATACCAAGCCCTGACAAGAAGACAATGAAACAGATAAAGAAAAATCAAAGACAAACGGTCCTGGGAGCCAATATTCCCAGTTCTCCCGAATATTTCTGGATTTTTGGGACCCATTTACTGGTATCCTGAAAAATCCCAGATACCATCTGGACACCTGGAGGTATCCAGAAAATGCCAATAAGGTATTTGCAGATACATACTTGGGCTGGAAATATCCGAATGCACATCCATCATTTCTATGTCTTTCCTAGAAAAAGGCCTCCAGAATTGGATGCAATACACCAAATGGGGTCTGACCAGTGCAACATACAGTGGGACTATCGCATTTCACGTATCCAATGCTACGCACTAGGCACCCTAAGATCGCATTTGTCTTTTTCGCTACCACATCATACTGGCTACTCACACTAAATTTACAGTCCACCAAAATCCCAAGACCTCATTCACACATGCAACTACATCAACCACAAGCCAAGAGGAAACAGTACAGCAAACACAACCGCTGATCCATGGGCCTCTAATGTTAATGCCCCCCTGGATCAAGTCTCCACAAGTTCCACCAAATGCAGGGAAGGGATCCCCCACACCCAAAACCAAATGCTGGACCTTGTAGGATGGAATTGCATTTCTTGGGGGGAGACCTGGGTTCAAATTCCTGCTCAACAAAGAAGCCCATGAGGTGATGCTGGGACTGCCACACCCTCTTTGTCCAGCCTGCCTCATAGGGTTCTTGGGGAAAAAGAGAGAAGGAGCAATGTGCATCCCGCCCTGAGGTCCTTGGAGGAAGGCTGGGGTACAAGAATGGCAAACAGGGAGCCCGTGACCAGATGCAAGGGAAAGGGTGCTTAATCCTGTGTGAACCTACAGCCCTGCCCAGCCAACCCTGCACCCCTACCTCAGATGGGCTTCCTTTCAGTTCTGAAACTCAATGGGGACAGAGGGGAGAGGCAACAGAGGGTGCAAAGCACCCCCAGCAAGAAAAAAACATGGGGATGGGAGCCTTATGACACAGGCCTACCCCCCCCCCCCCAAAGGCTGGCCATCCCTTTGAAGACAGGACAAAGCCAATGCCTCTAAGAGCCTGGTCACTTGCCAGCAGGCCAAGTCAGTCCAAGCATCCACAGAAGCTGAAACACGTGTGCCAAGCAAGCTGGCACAGGAGAGAGATGCTGCTAAGAGAAGGAGGCTGCCTCAGAAAACATGGATGCTCTTGGGTCTCAGAGCCAGCAAATCTCTCGGAGAGCCACAACCCTGTCAAGCCTTCAACAAAAAAGGCGGGGGGCTGGAGAGGGGGCAGAAGAGAAGGGCTGCCTCATTTCCTTTCCCTACATCTGAAGGGTTTCAGCCTCCCAGCACCAAAGCCAGTCCACAGGCAGACTCTTGGGGTGGCTCCGGAACCCTTCCCCGTGGGCTGGCTGCAAGAGCAGGGAAAACAGCTGCCGAGCTCAATTCGCACTGTCTTGCCCACCGCTGAGAGTGGTATCGACCAACTGCCGCCTCTTGTCCCAGACCAGACTGGCTACTGCAGAGTCAGAGAGCAAAGGCTGCTCTCACTCCCCTCCCCACACTTTCTTTTTAAAAAAAATCTCCTAAGCCTCAGCCTCCTCCATTAAGGAGACACAAGTGGTTTTTTAACACCCAGCCAACACTCCCCACTGTCCTCCCAACACTAGCACTGAGAGAGAGAGAGAGAGAGAACCCCCCCCCCCCCCCCCCCCCACACCCGAACAGAGAGAGAGAGAGAGAGAGAGAGAGAGAGAGAGAGAGAGAATGCAAAACCAGACACTTCTAGTAGCAAAGGCACCCCCCCACACACACACACACACAGACCCTGGCCCCAAAAGGTATGTTCAGCCAGCACATCACCTCCCAAGCTTGGTGCACCTCGGAACTCAACACCACATTAACCCCAGAAGCTGCCTGATCCTGAGCCACACCTCTGGTCTGTCAAAGCCACTGCTGCCCACTCCAATTGGCAGGAGCTCTCAGCTCCAGGCCTATCACATCACCTACAAGCTGGCCCTTTTCACTGGAGACACTGCCAGGCGTCGAACCTGGGGTCTTCGGCATGCCACGCAGGCGCTCTGCCGCTGAGCCACAGCCCTTTCCCTTGTAACACGCTAGACTCGTTCATGAGCTGCTCCAGCCACAGGATCCCTCCACCGCCAGTCTCCATGGGAAGCCTCATGCAGCAGACAGGCCCTCCAGCTGCGGAAGGCTTTGTCGCCACGTCACACTCCAAGTGCCATTTTCATCACACTGCAGCACGGGACTTCCAGTGGAGGAAAGACGTTTCCCCGGAGTCTAGGAAGACCAACAGGAAACGCAGGCTTGGCGTCCTGGAGCTGTATGAAGGGAGGTGACTCCTGAGCCAGAGCACCAAAGCACCACGCCCTGCTCACCAAGGACAGACCAGAACACCAGCCACCCCCAGGCAACCCCCCCCCCCCGCTCTTCTCCCCAGCTTTCCCTGCACTGACTTGCCCAGGGCTTTTCTTCTAAGCCACCTACTCCAAATAATTCCAACAAGAAGAGGTGAAAACGCCAGGCCTTTTATCAAATTTGCCGCCTACAGGAACGAAGCTGAAGGAGACCATCTAGATGTATTTTTTCCATTTCACAGCCACGAAACAAGCAATCGATGAAAAACAAGCATATTGATTGTCACTTATTTTCTGATTTTTTTTTTGAGGCGACACAGTAAGGTGGAACACGGCGGGGGGGGGGATTACACATGCGCACACTCACAGAGGAGAGAGTTTTCTAGAGCCTTCCCTAGAGAAGAAAGTGGGGCCTCTCTCCAGCTTCCAGCGCCGCTGATCATAAAACGATGCAGTGCGGCGTAGTGGTTAGAATGTCAGGCCAGAACTGGGAAGGGCCTGGGTTCAAATCCCTATTCAGCCATTGGCCTTGGGCCCACCACTTTCTCCCCACCTAACCCACCTCCCAGGATCGGTTGTGAGAGAAGCAGGACTGCTGCCCTGAGCTGCTGGCAAGGGCAGGATACAAATGTGACAGCTGAAGGAGTGACTCAGGCCAACCAAGCCGCACGTAAAGCATCTGAACTGGAGCACAAACCTGGCGAGGAGCTCTGATGCCAACTCTGGGGGGAGCCTGGGGGCTGGTGCTGCAAATCCTTTTGCTACAAGAGAAGGAAAGACACACACAGTTTGCCCCAGTGGACACCTGACTGGGAGAGGCACCAGAGCATCAAAATAAACTGGAGCCCTCAGCAGAAACCAAGAGCAACCCCAGACTCTGCTTTGGAAGGCGCCGGGCCAGGACAGCCTCCTTCTGCTGTACCAGGAAACGGACCCAAATCGCCCGTCACTCTGCCAGCAGGCTGCCCACAGTCGTGAAAGAGCCCTCGAGAAACCCCAAGAAAGGCAAAGCCCACCATCACCACAGGGAGGCGGCCCACAAGGAAAGAGCCACTTAGTAATTTAGGGCACAAAAATGACTCAACTGGAAGCACGCAAGGGCAGGCAACGTTTGTATGAATGCGAAACTTCTGGAGGAGAAAGTTGGGGAGGGCAGTGGGGGGGGGGTTGCCTACCTTGGGCCTGGCGCTGCCGCATTCAGCCAGGAGGCTTCTGCCGGTCCTTGTGGTACAGTCTGAAAAGGTGAAGGGGAGATTAGTCAGTACGGACACATGGCTCTTTCAGTCGTGTTTTCCCCGCGCATGTGGCTGCTCTAACGGTGAACAGCCTCAGGACACCAAGACAGCTACCTCCGAGAGGCCTGTCCTGTCTGGAGGAGGAGGAGGACCCTGCCCAGAGCGGCTCCATTTCGATCCAGGCCTTTGGCATGCATTGCAAAAGGACTGGGACGGTAGCCCCACCTGTAGTGGGGAAGGAGCAATTCAGGGGCTGAGGCACACACCTCCAGCATGTCAGTTCTGGGGCACGCCCCCCCCAAATATGTCAGTCCTGCTGGTAGAGCAGACAGATGAGAGCATAAGCTTGGGAGGCTCCAATTCCGATTTCAGCTAAGCTGCCTGGGCAAGCCAGACCTCAGTCCTTTGCTGGTGGCGAGAGAAGGAAAAGAGCATCCTTTCTCAGCTCTGCAGGACCACCGAGGGCACCCAGGGCTCACCCAGAAACTCGCAGTCTAAGACTTGGAAGCAAGAAGACTGAGGGAGGAGGGGGAGGAGGAAGCAGGGGTGACCAGGGCAGGAATTAGCAGCCTGAAGGCAGGTTTCAAGGAGAGATTTCAGACCTGCCTACCTACAGAGTTGTTGTGAGGGTCACAGAGAACAACTTTGGAAAAGTGCCACAGGTGATTACTACACCCTCCCCTGTTCCAGTCACAATGAAAATATCAGCGACAATGGTGTTCACATGGCGCTCGTGAAGAAAGCCAGTCCCTCTCAAGGTTGCCCAGAATTTTCACTCCCCTGCAACAACACAACATCGCAACTGTTGGTCCTGGGCAAATCCCTTCTGTGTGCACAAGGCGCAGGGCATCAGCTGCTTGGCCAAGAGAGGTGGCAGGGTGAGAATCTGGCTAGCTATCTGGCACGGCAGACATCCTGCCTGCTCGGCCCGGCTGACGCCCTCTCCTGCAGAAAACCTGCTGGATTTAAAGGCCGTTTCCAAGACAAACTGACTTGACCAGGTTACATAATTCACACAAGATAGGAGCCAAGCAAGCGCTCAGGCTTCTGGACACCGTGTCCTTGCAGCGAACAGGCTGAACTAGCTGAAAGGGGCAAAGGACGTGCATTTTCATGGAAATTTCTCCCACCCGTCTGAGCTCTGTGGAAACAAGCAAGAGTCACATGGCGGCTGCCGCAGAAAGTGCTGCGTGTGTGGAGGTAGGCCATCCTGCAGCCACACAAAAACCCAGGCCACGCTGCAATAAAAGAAAGTAAAGTGCCTCGCCTGCCCCCTCACTAGCACCCCCAAGAATAGCTGTTAGCGGCCCAACACAACCACCCTTGGAAGCATCCCAGCTTGGTTACTTGGAAGAGAATCTTCCCTTGCCACAGGCAACCAGGAGAGATTGACATACCCACGCATAACACAGCTACTAGCATCACCCTGAGTTCCTACTGGATTCAAGGAAGGGGGGCAAGGGGCTGCTGGCGTGAGGAAGAAGAGGAAGAGATTGGATTCATACCCCGCCCTTCACTACCTGAAGGAGTCTTGGAGCGACTTACAAACTCCTTTCCCTTCCCCTCCCCACAACAGACACCCTGTGAGGTAGGTGGGGCTGAGAGAGCTTGTGCAGTTCCGCAGGGCCTGCAAGACGGAGCTCTTCCGCCAGGCCTTTGAGTAGGAGCCGCCGCCCTACTATACCTCCACCGTCAAGACATCTTAATCGATGCGAGGAAGAACTTAAGAGAAGACCGGATAAGCCGCCACCACTGGACTTGCACGCTATGGGAGGACCAATTGGAACTGCGGCTGTAACATCTTGGTTTTAGTATGCTAGTAATGGGATATAGTACTGTGGTTTTAGTGCTGATGTTTTATTATGTTTTTATATGTTTTAATTATATGTTTTTATATGTTTTATATGTTTTAATTATAAAATGCCCTGAGCCCGTTGGGGAGGGCGGGATACAAATGTAAAAATAAATAAATAAATAAATAACAGAAACTGCCCTTTTTCAAGAACAGCTCTTATCAGAGCTACAGCTTGCCCAAGGTCATCCAGCCAGGTGCAAGTGGAGGAGTGGGAAATCAAACCCACTTCTCCCAGATTAGAGTCCGCGCACTTAGCCACTACACCAAACTGGTGTAGATGAAAGGAAGAACATGACAGAGATTTTAAAAACTGGGTGTACCAAGCAAAGAGCACATTTTCTCCCCTTCTGAAAAAGCTAGTGCTCAGGGACACCCAGAGAAGCAGGGCAGATACTTTTCCAAAATGGAACATTTTCAAGTGCCTTGTTTTTCGTGGAGATGTTCCAATTCTACAGATTCATTGTTTCATAAAGTTAAAATCGCCAGGAATGGATGCCATTGCCAGCACAATATCAGGCAAGCTTGGCTGTTTCAGAGTTGTAATTAATGGTTCTCAGGTCCTTATCCTAAAGAATTGTGTGAAAAGACATGTATGTCTTTTGTTGATTAGTAAATGGAGAGGAGGATGAAACCAGAACTGTATATAATATTCGAAATTTTAAAATCAAGGAACTCATTTGTGGTGGCGCCTACAAGCATGGACGGCTTCAAAAGGGAATTAGATAAGCATCTGGAGCAGAGGTCCATCAGTGGCTATTAGCCACAAGGTATAGATAGGGACTCTGGGGCAAGTGATGCTCTGTCTTCTTGGTGCTTGGGGGGGTCGTGGGAGGGCTTCTAATGTCCTGGCCCCACAGGTGGACCTCCTGATGGCACTGGTATTTCTGGCCACTGTGTGACACAGTGTTGGACTGGATGGGCCTTTGGCCTGATCCAACATTGGCGTCTCTTATGTTCTTATGATCAGCTATGCATGTTAGATCAAAACCAAACCTAAAACTGTTATTTCTATTTCTTTTCACACATGGTGAAAGGGCTGTTGTATTCCCCGATCTGCTATGGAACCAGCAGGCATCACCTGCCACAGAGCAGGATGGTGAGACTGAGGTGTCCCACTGACACCCTCCATGTGGAAGAGATTTGCGTTCTGTTGAAACAGACGAGTGGACAACTACACCATCTTTCAATTTTTACAGGTATTATCCCAATAAAGGTAACTGAGTATACATTTAAACCACACTTGATTTATCTTTTTTTCTAACCCAGTATTTCAACTTAAATATCTGTTGCTATTGGGAAATAAAATTAATATGAATTACTTTCAAAATTCTGTGTACTAACCATGTCAAAATAAATATTCTCGGATAGATCACACCCTATTTCGAGCACCAGAAACTTTTCAGGAAGATTTCCTCACCCATGTTTTTCCAGAAAACTCACATTGTTGGGGCCAACCCAATGAAGCTGATGCACAGCAGATTCAGAACTGACAAAAGGAAGTACAACGTGTGAAGTGTAGAAGATAGTCCCACTGCATACCAAAGTGGTCACTAGCTATGTGTTAGGTGCCATCCACACACTTCTGACTTTAACGACAATCCTATGAACCAATGGCCACCAGAACATCCTATCATTAACAGCCTTGCTCAGGTCTTGAAGACTGAAGACCATGGCTTCCTCGGTGGAATCCATCCTTCTCATGCTGGGTCGGTGTTCCTCTTTCCCCCCTCCCTCCTGCCTTCAACCCCTCCGAAGCACCGTTGTCTTTTCCAGTGAGTCTTGTCTTCTTATGTGACCAAAGTGCAACAGCCTCAGTTTAGTTATTTTAGCTTCTAGGGAGAATCCAGGTTTGATATGTTCTAGAACCCACATATTTGTCTTTTTGGTAGTCCATAAACTTTCCTCCCAACACCACGTTTCAAATGAATCGACTGTCTTCCCTTTCAGCTTTCTTCACTGTCCATCTTCCACACACACTTCCACAGTGATGGGGAACACTGTGGTATGAATTATCTTGATCTTGGCCACCAATGACACATCCTTACACTTTAAGAATCTTTTCTAGCTCCTTCCCAGTCTCGGTCTTCTTCTGATTTCTCAGCTGATTTCGGCTGATGAGTGAGCCAAGGAATAGAAAATCTTTTATGATTTCAATTTCTTCATTGTCAACCTTAACGTTGTGCAATTCCTCAGCGATCAATACTTTTGTCCTCTTGATGTTCGGTTGTTATCCTACTTTAGCAATTTTCCCTTTAATCTTCACCAGTAGTCATTTCAAGTCTTCACCGTTTCCTGCCAGTAATGTGGTGCCATCTGCATCTCTCAAATCGTTAATGTTCCTTCCACCAATTTTCACTCCACCTTCATCCGAATCTAATCCAGCTTTCCTGGATCTGTTCTGCACATAAACTGAACAGACAGGAGGAAAACAAACATCCTTGTCTGAGACCTCTGAAAAGTGGAAGCCACTCTGTTTCTCCATATTCCATCCTAATGCAAGCCGCTAGCTTAGATGGGCTTAGAACAGATAAGACATATTCATGGAGGAGGAGGAGAAGTAGAGGTCCATCAGTAGCCATGAATCCCCATCTCCCGGTACAGGGCACCCCTGGAAACAATGGCTGAGGAAAAACCACTGGGGGCTGTGCTGTCCCTGTGGCCCTTCTGATAATCAGCTATAGAAAACAGGATGATGGAGCCAGTCAGCTGCTTTTGCGCCATTCAGACCTGCTGTCCATCCCTGGAATTACGCCCAACCAAAGGGCTTGCGCCAAACTTGTAACAATGACTACCATAAAAGCCACACCCTGATCCAACCAGCGAGCGGTTTCTTTGCAGAAGGAGAACTCAGCACACATACCCTCCACGTTGGCATCCTAGCAGTCTTGAAAGATCTTCATGACCAACGCTTGGGGAACAGCTAGAGCTCAGCGGTAGCTGCACTTTTTTTTCCATGCAGAAGGTTCTTGGTGCAAGCCACAGCATCTCCCATTAAAGAATCTCCGATCACAGGTTTCGGCGAAGGCTCGGGAGAGCTGCTGCCAATCACAGCAGCCGACATTGAGCGGCACGAGGCAGCTTTCCAAACCTTTCCTCAAAAGGGAAAAGGGCGCCTTCCCCTTTCAAATCATTTCCCAATCCAAA